GAGCGAGGGGGGGGGGCAGATTCTGGTTCACACAGAGGCTGATAAATACACGCCATTTCTGTGAAGTTTCCAATTGACAGGTGGCACTCATACATTCAAAAACATAATACAATGAAACTCGCAATCGCAATAGTTCCCATGCAATTATAAAGAATCGACATTTAAGGTTACATGACACGGCTAAAGCATCTCTGCCAATACGTTTTCATCTGATCACTAATATCAGAGAAAGGATAAAGTTGTACACTTTTGCTTTTCTATAAAAACAACAACAACAACAACAACAAACAAACAAACAACACGCAGCGTTATACCTTGAGCATTCTTTCGTGCCTGCACTATATAACATATATAATATTTCTTTTCTTTGTGCTGGCTTACTCATTTAAAAAAAAACAACCTTTAAACTTGGCCGCCACACCTAGTACCACAGTACTAACAACATACGCCTCATTCTGATCGGTACGAAAATCAGATGCGAACCACAACACCAGCTCTAACAGATAATACTGATAAGCGAGACTCACAGCTTCACCAGCGGTGCAGAATGAGAAAATAATACTTATCAAAATCCACACAAAAACCAATCTAGCAGTTTGATAGCTCACGGAGATATGAAAGATATGACGCCAAAAATACCCATGCGTGCTGCTCTGAAACAGCAATTACAGACGTACCGTCTGATATGCAAATGAATATATCATATGTTTTAGTTAGTTTTATAGAGGTTTTACGGCACTCGCAACTGCATAAGGTCATATAAGCGCCAGAAGAATAGAGGTGTTACAAGAGAGTAACAAACATAAAAAAGAAGAAGGGGAGATAAGGACGATAGAAGTTTGATAGGAAAGAAGAAGCAAACCACGCCAGAGCACCCGCCAACCACCCACATATAATATGTTTTAAAAAAAGAATGGAGAAATGAAAGCAAAACTACCTGCATGAAAAATACTCGTTCACTATACAAACAAATAATTGAATAAATCAATATATGAATGAGTAAACGAACAAACAGGCAAAGAAAGAAAGAAAGAAAGAAGGAATGAATGAACGAATATGCAAACAAGTAAAGAGATAAATAAATAAATAAATAAATAAATCGGCACAATTATCAACAGAAAGGGATAAAGGAGGTGATAACTCAACAAAACAGCCGTGGTGGCTACGGCATTACTTACCAATCCCCTCTGTTCAAGCTCAAGACTTTAGTAACGCGCGAGAGAATTCAGTACCAGAGAGCTCGTAGCGTGTTCCCCGAGAAATTCTGATCTTCACGTGACGACACGCACTCGGAAACGTACACAGGGTGGGCGCAGGGACTGAGCGTGGTCTTGAGTCGGGGTTACGCCCACTCAGCACTATAACGACCACTTTTCACCAATAATTTACTGACTTGTTTGTTTGAGTACAGAGAAGCACATCGATACAATAAAGGCCATTTAGTGCTGGAAAAAGACAGACAGACAGACAGACAGACAGACAGACAGACAGACAGACAGACAGACAGACAGATGTAGGACCTAAAAGCTACAAACAGTTCCGCTAAGACTTAGAAATAGAGCAGGATATTAGAGAACACAGAAGAAGCAAAAAGGGCTGACCACAACAGAGGTTCATAAACCACAAGTGCGCTTAACTTGTTGGCACAGGTTCCGAGACGAATACCCAACTGGAAATACATCAAAGACCCATGGCCCAGTCGACAAAAAATAAAATGAAGCAACACTGAGAGAAAAACTACAATACATGTACAAAAAATGCGATTATTTGTGTAAAGATATCCATGTCATACTGTGGGGGAAAACTTCACCACGCTCAATAATGTGGTACAACGTCTAAAGCTAGAAAGGGCGGGGATCGAAAAGAGAGAGAGAGAGAGAGAGAGAGAGAGAGAGAGAGTCAGATAGAAAGACATTGAGACATCTCCGACGTTCACAAAGGGTAGGAGGGATAAAGTTCAGAGACATACTACGGCTTCTAGCCAGGGTTTAGCTTCAAGTAGCGTCCAAGGTTTAAAAACAGCCAATACGTGAATTACGTTTCTTTCTCAACACTTGTCTAAAATGTTGACAACGTTCGCAAAGAATTCTTCGGAGAAAAGTGAGGTATTTGAAAAGTGTTTGGACTTTATACAATTCGAGGTAGATAAAAGGCATTCTATGGTTTATGTGAACTTTCGATGATACCGGCTTAACATTGTCACGACTTGAAATTGAAAAAGGGCACATTTTGGTGGTTTCTTTCATTTTGTGTTGCCTTCCGCGCATTTAACCGATTTCTCTCTGTATTTCTCTCTCACTCTCTCATGTCCGTCATTCTGCTTGTTTCTCTCTCTCTCTCTTTCTCTCTCACTCTCTCTTTCTCTTTCACTCTCTCTCTCTTTCTCTTTCTTTCTCACTCTCTCTCTCTTTCTCTCTCT